CGCGCTGGCTCGGCCCGGCCGGCGGCGCGCGGGCGCGTGGGGGGCCGGGGCGCCGCCGTGCTCGCCCCCCCGCTGCGCGGCGGCCGCGCCCCCGCGCGCGTTTCGCCCCGCCGCGCCCCGGCGCGCGCGCTCTCGGGGGCTCGGGGGGCGCCGGGGCCGCCCCCCCGCGCGCGCCCCTTGCCGCTCCGCCGCCCCCGCGCCCCGCTCCCGGGCGCCGCGCGCGGGCGCGCGCCCCCGCGCCCCGGGCCCCCCCGCGCGCGCGCTTTGCGCCCCGCGCCCCGGCGTGCCTGGGCGCCCCCGCGCGGGGCGCGCGGTTCCGCTCGCGCGGGCGCGGGCGCGCTGGGGCCCGCCCCGCGCCCCGGGCGGGCCCCGCGCCGTGCGCGCGCGGCGCTCCGGGGGCGCGGGCCCCGGGGCCGCCCCCGGGCGCGTTTGGGGCCCCCGCTTCGGGCCGCCCCGGGGCGCTGGGCCCCGTCCCTTTGCGCACCCCGGGGGCGCCCCCGGGGGCCCCGTGCCCCCGGCGGGGCCCCGGGGGCCCCGCCCGGCCCCCCTTTTTCCCGGGGCCCGCGCGTGGGCCGGTTTTTGGTTCGCCTGCCCCTCGCCCCTCTTCCCCGGTTCGCCCCTCCCTCCCTCTCTCCCGCTCCGCCTGGCCCCCCTTCCCCGGCCCCTCCCCCGGGCCCCGGCGTTCTCCTCGGCTTGTTGGGGGCCGGTCCCCCCTGGGAACCCCCCTCCCAAAACCCCCTCGGGGGAGGGGGAGAAAAACAATAAGCGGTGTCTTTACCCTCCCATTTGCCAAAGGGAAATTTGGGGTGTGTTTTTTGTTTGGGAAAAGCATTGCCATAATAAGTCTCTCTAAATTTTTTTTTACAAAATCATAATCAAAGATTTTAAAGGGCTAGCTTTTTTTTGTTTGGAAGAGACAACAGAAATAAAGTATGAATAGGGGCAAAAACCAATCTGCTTGTCCTTTTGAGGTTTTGAAGACACAACAGCAACCCAAGGAGCTGGTACAGGGGGCAGGGCGCTCTTCATCCTAAACCCTTTACAGAAGGAATCCCTCACCCCATCCCGCCCTATTTACTGCATAGCAACTAGGAACACACATTAAACATATCAAATAAATACACCAGGTATTAAAATCAACCCAAAATAAAAAATCTAAAAAGGGAAATTATTTGGGGCCGGCCCAAATTTTTTATACTCCCTAAAAACGAAAACCTTTTAAAGACAATCTTAATTTGGCAGCCATCCCCCCAGGTTTTTTGCATCAGAAAAAACCCTTTTGAAATTTGCCCCCCCTTTTTAAAGCGGGGCAGTTCCTTTGTTTATATTTTTCTAAATGCCGGGCGTGACTTTAGGAAAACCCGACCCAAAGTCTTGGAAAAAAAGGGGGGATTTTTTTACAGCAGCACCCCCCTCACTACTCTCCCCCTTTTCCTCCCCCTCTCTCCCTACTCACCCCTCTCTCCCATCCCACTCTCCCCCGGTCTCACTCTCTCTCCTCCTCCCCCCTCTCTCTCCCCCCTCTCTTCTCTCTCTCCCTTTTCTCTCTCCCCCTCCCCCCCCTCTCTCCCTCTCCCCCTTTCCTCTTCCTCTCCTCCCTCCCCTTTACCCCTCCCCTCTTCCCTCTCCCCCCCCCCCCTCTCTCTCCCCTTTCTCCCCCCTCCCCTAAACTCTCTCTCTCCCCCTCTCTCCCCCCCTTCCCCTTCTCTCCCCCTCTCCCCCCCCAAATCCTCGGGCTCCCCTCCCCCGGTTTTTCTCATCCCCTCCCTCTTTACTCCTCTCTTCCTCCCCCCCCCTCCTCTTCCACCCCCCCTCCCCCCTTGGGAAAAAGCCGGGCCCTAGAAGCCGCCAGGAGACGAAATTTAAAAAAGGAAACCATTGCAACATGAGAAATTTTTAAACAGAACAAAACCCCCTGTCTCCCCCTTTGGGTTTTGTTTTACTACTGACTTTTTTTTGGGGGGAAAAGAAAAAATTTAAAAAGAAGCTTTTTAAAACCCTTTTGGGGTCCGTGCCCCTTATTTGGGTGCCTGTGGGGCCCTTTGCAATGGCATGATTGTGGCATGATCACATACACCTACTAGAATGTAATGTATTGTACTAGATAAAAAATCTTATAAGTTGTAGGGTTTCATTATTAGTCTATTTTTATTAAAAATTAAATCTATTAACCCCTTTAATTACTAACTATTAATTTTTATTAACCCACTTTTCGTCCCTTGCCAATGATTTTTTTTGTTTTGTACGTGTTAAAATTTTGTAGTCTTTACAAAGGGGCTTCCCGGGAAACCACTTCTGATAGTCCCGGATGCCCCCGTGGGATACCCAGCATCTCCTCACTGAGAAACACAACAAAGTAAAGGGTTTTTAAAAACTTTGGAAAAAAAAACACAGGGGAAGGCACATTAACAGCAACATAAAAAATTTTCGGCTGAAGCGTTAATTTGGGGGCAGGGGGAAAAAATAAAAAAAACATGGAAAAAGGGGGAAGGGGGTAGGGGGGGTAGAGTTGCCTAGGGGTAGTTTAATTTAAAATCCTTCTCCCATTGAACCCCACTCTGGAACAATTAAAAGTACAAATGTCCGGTTTAAACCACATTTAATTTTTCTCTGGTGAAAAAGTCATAAAAGACAGTGAAATTAATTTTTTTTTAAATCGGGGATCCTTTTTCACGGTTACCAAAACTTTAAAACCCCCAACGAGACAAAAAATTATCCCTTTTCCAGAAATGCAAATGCTTTTTTTTTTCTTTACCCTCACAACCATAACCCTTTTTTTGTAATTTGCTCGCCATTTTAAATGAAAAAATGATCTTTTTGTGAAATTTTAAATTTTCCCCGTAATAAAATAAAATTTTGGGGAAGTAAGACGTTGTCATATGACATTCATTTTAAATTTTTTAAATGGTTTAGCCACTGCTAGGTTTCTAACAAACTAGAAATGGGAAACCCAAAAAATTTTTTAAAAAGTTTATTTTTTGTTTTTCCCGGTTTGCTAGATTGCAAAATAAATAAAATTTATTTTTAAAAAGGGTAAATTTTAGGTGTTAAAATCACCATTTTCTTTTGGACCCCAGGGCCCTTATGCAGCCCCGTCGTTTTTTGTGTTTTAAAAACTTTTTTTAAAAAACCAAAACCAAATTTAAAGTTGGGGCCCACAATAAATGTTTTATGAGGGCCGGCCCAAAATAAATTTTTTTGTGTCACTGAGCCCAAAAGGGAAGGGTTTTGAAAGTCACTACGAAATAGAATGTTTCCCTGATGGGCACTTGCGACAATAAATGTTCATGAAAGTCCCTACACAAAAGAATTTTCAGGTGTCCCGCGACAATAGAATTTTTATTATTTCACTTCGACAATAGAATTTTCATGATTCACTAGGACAATAGAATGTTTTTTTGCACGCGACCAAAAAATGTTCCTGAATCACTGCACCAAAAGAATTTCCCTGATGTCACTACACAATAGAAAGTTCTTTTGGGCACTGCACAATAGAATGTTTTTGATGTCCCTACGACAAAAAAGTTTTATGGGTGTCACCCGCCCCAAAAAATTTAATGATGGGCACTTTCGACAATAAATTTCATGAGGGCCCGGGGACAAAAGAAGGTTTTTGAAAGTCACCTTTTCGCAATAAATGTTTTATATGTCCCCCTTTCACTAGAAGGTTTTAAAGTGTCCCCTACGACAATAGAAAAGTTTTATGATTCCCCACTTTTTCAATTTCCCGCGACAATAGAATGTTTATGATGTCACCCCCGACAATAGAATGTTCATTTTGTCACGCGACCCCCAAAAATGTTCATGGGTGTACTGCGACAATAAAAGTTCTGATGTCCGCGACAAAAGAAAGTTTTAAAAGATGTCCCCCTGGGGACAATAAATGTTAATGATTTCCCTGCACAATAAAAAATGTTATGATTTACTGCGACAATAGAAAAATTTTATGATGCCCCTTGGGGACCAAAAGAATGTTCATGAGGCCCCTCGAAATAGAATGTTCATGATGTCAAAACCCACCTTTTAAAAATGTTCATGATGTCACCGCAATAGAATTTTTCATGATTCCCCTCGCAAAGGGAAATTTTTAGGGTGGCATCTCGACAAATAGAATGTTCCCTGGATGTCCCTCGACAATAAATTTCTGATGTCACGCGACAATAGAAAAGTTCATATGTCCCACCGACAATAGAAGTTCATGATGGGCACTGCGCAATAAAAGTTCATGATGTCACTTTTCGACCAAAAGAATTTCATGATGTCCAACCCGCGGCAAAAGAAAGTAAAGATGTCCCCCTGCGACAAAGAATGTTAAAGAAAGGGCACTGCGACAATAGAATGTTCAAAGATGTCACTGCGACAATTTTGAATTTCATGATTCACTGCGGGCAATAGAATGTTAAAAGATGTCCCCTGCGACAATAAAGTTAATGATGTCACTGCGACAATATAATGTTAAGATGTCACCTGCGACAATAGAATGTTCTGATGTCACTGCGACAATAGAAGTCATGAAGGACAAAGAAGTTCATGATGTCACTGCGACAATAGAATGTTATGATGTCACTGCGACAATAGAATGTTAATGATGTCACTGCGACAATAGAATGTTCATGATGTCACTGCGACAATAGAATGTTCATGATGTCACTGCGACAATAGAATGTTAATGATGTCACTGCGACAATATAATGTTAATGATGTCACTGCGACAATAGAATGTTCATGATGTCACTGCGACAATAGAATGTTCATGATGTCACTGCGACAATAGAATGTTCATGATGTCACTGCGACAATAGAATGTTCATGATGTCACTACGACAATAGAATGTTCATGATGTCACTGCGACAATAGAATGTTAATGATGTCACTGCGACAACTGTCTACTGACGTGCTGATAGACGTAGTATAAACCAGCCTTAAGGGGAATGAAGGCAGGGAGGCTAGGGAGTGGTGCTTGGGTTGGAGTTAGGGTTAAGGTGCAGGGGCAGTATACTTACTTCCTGAGGTACTCCTCAGAATCACACAACTTCAGGAGGTAGTGTCCACTGTCTATTGGGTTAGTCTGTTCCAGGAGCAGCAAGATCTCACCTATCAGGGTCTGGACAGTCTTGTTCACTGGAGGACAGAGAACAACTCTAGACACAGTCCCCCCCAAAAAAATCCATATGGAGATTCAAACCTATCTCCCTTTTTCTAAAGACATTTTACCATAACACACGCTGAAAAATACAGCAATACGTCTGTGATAAAGCCATTGCGTCGCACATATCCTTTTAGACTATTTGATCGCTAAATGTGAGCAGAAATGAAGTTGCCATAATATGTGGCCATGTGATTGTAGCTTAGCTACCACATGTTACAGCAGTACACATATGTGTCGACTGTGTGTCTTACTTACACATGGTGGGAATGGGTAATTGGTGGGGGACCCAGGGAGTAGACACATTGATGGTGATCTCAGCTTCCTGCAGTAGGGAGGGGTGAATAGGTGACACACGCCCCCACACCACCCCTGAGTTAGACACCTGGTCAGTGTGGGGATACCTAGACAACAGTCTGACAGAGAGAGAGAGAGAGAGAGAGAGGGAGAGGCCTTTAGAATGTATATATTTGTTTTAATGAAAGTGCAACGCTATGGATCATTTCTGGCTTTCCTCAAGAAACTTGAAGTGTGGCAACGCAAGACGTTCCTTGGTTCGTCTTATCTTGAATGTTAAAATGACTCAGTTCATTGGAATGATATTCAAACATCTTAAAGGGACGTGACTTTTCTTACTTGGACGTCAACATGCAGAGAGAAGCCAGTTGTTTGGTGCTGCCTTGTGGAGTGTCTATCAGTTTGATGTTCCAGGTATCCAGCTAAAAATATATAATACTGTATATCCATCTTAGTAGAAGCTTTTATCCAATGCATTTATCCAAAGCATTTATCCAAAGCATTTGTCCAAAGCGACTTACAGTACAGTGAGGCCATACATTTTTTGTATGTGACCCCAGCAGGAATCGAACCCACGACAAAAACATAATTAAACCGCATTGACTCAAATACCACTTATTTTTAAAGGCCCAGTGCAGTCAAAAACGTGATTTTCCTGTGTTTTATATATATTTCTACACCATGAGTTTGGAATAATACTGTGAAAATGTGAAAATGATGATAATGCCCTTTAGTGTAAAAGCTGTTAGAAAAGAATGCCTGAAATCAACAGTATTTATATTACTGTATTTAGTGGTATACATTAAAACTGAGCTACACGTGGTAGAGTTGGTAGAGCATGGCGCTTGCAACGCCAGGGTTGTGGGTTCGATTCCCACGGGGGGCCAGTATGAAAAAATGTATGCACTCACTAACTGTAAGTCGCTCTGGATAAGAGCGTTCTGCTAAATGACTAAAATGTAAATGTAAATGAAATTTCAGGCTGTTTGGTTGGATGGAGTTTTAATAGACCAATAAGAAAGAAAGTTACAAAACCTCTCTGCCAATAACAGATAGTTTTCAGTTTTTCCCTTCCTACTTAGACCACTCCCAGACAGTCCTAGCAAAATTCTTGCTTGAGAAATTGCTCTTTGTTAAGAAACAATTTTAGTGTATTTTTTACTATTTTAATTGATCACAATCACAGTAAAGTACTTAACTGTTACCCAGAAATGATTTGATATTGAGATAAAAATGGCTGCACTGGACCTTTAACATCTTTCCTCCATCCCCACAAAGATATCTTTGTTTCCAGTGAACTAAATCTCCATCATCCAGAGTGCTAGTTTTTCTTTAACCTTTATTTAAAGACCCTTGAAGGTTAAGAAACCTATTTTGCAAGGGCAACCCAGTGATACTCACATGACTATCTCTGGCTGTATTAGAGCGGTTCAGTCTGATAGCGGGTATAGTCAGGTCACAGGAGAACCTCTTCTGAGCATTAGTCAGCAGAGCAGCACTGGTGGTCCTCCCCCGAGGGGGCACTGGGGGTGCTAGGGGGGCTGCTCCTCTCAGGGGGTCCACTGCTCCTCTCAGGGGGTCCACTGTCTCCCCGGTCCTGTATATTTTCAAGAAAATAAAATGTTTACGTTCATTTGACTGGGATTATATACAGTACAAATAAAATATAAATCAGGAAACTTTATGAATTGTACCAGATATAGTTAACCGGCTAATTTTCATATAATAATTAGATGCTTACATTTGTTCTATTTCACACATGTACAGGTGCGAATTGGAAATGTGTTTTTTGCATATCCCACTCCCCTGAGAGTGGTGTCAGAGCCAGGGATCAGCCATTATTGATGGCAACCCTAGAGCAATTATGGTTAAGTGCCTTGCTCAAGGGCACATCAACAGATTTTTCACCTAGTGGGCTCTGGGATTTCAACCAGCGACCTTTCGGTTACTGGCCCAACGCTCCTAACCGCTAGGCTACCTGCTGCCCATGGCAGGTGAACATTAAAACCACTCAACATACCTGGGTCTCAGGTAAGGATTTGGGTTGGGGACCCCTCCACCCACCCCCTGGGTGTTAGGGTTAGGGTCGTTGGGGCTCCCATTGCCTCCGCCCTGGGACCAGAGAGGGGAGCGGTGTTGGGCCTGGGGACTGGACAGGGACATGGCCGAGAGGGAGTTGTACAGATCCCATTCCTCCTCCTCTAGAAATGCAGGGTCCAGACCAGCTAAGTCTTCCTGGTATCGTTCCATGAGGTACGCTGGGAAAACGTTGTCTTCTTGTCTCTGTGAGTCATAATCCATATCGAAAGGATCCATTGGGTACTAAAGTAAAGACATGCAACTCCTGTCTGTCTGTCAGACTCCACAACTCAATGACGAATCATTGTAGTCGGTTCAGTCCATGGCACGTTGAACTCTGGGATGTTGTGGTAAAAGAAATAGGTGGGTAAACCCCTAATACAAAACAAACACAAATCATATGCCACAGCTCAGTGGCGAATCAGTGGACTCTGTGTTCACTCTGTGGCATGTTGAAGGGTGTGATCAAAGAGTTTATTGTAATTACTCTCAATCCAAATATGTAGTATAACATGCTGCAAATACTGGGTCCAAATTAAGACAGTTTTTTTTTTTTACTACAGTAATTTTGCAGTGTAACTGCAATTATTCTGCAATTACTGCATCCAAAATACCACACTGCAGTTACTTCACTTTTACTGCAGTTTCAAAACTGCAATATCTTTTTGTAAGGGGTAGGCTACAGAGCCTTAACTACAACGGTTGCAACTAGTAGTTACAGTTGAAGTCGGAAGTTTACATACACCTTAGCCAAATACATTTAAACACAGTTTTTCACAATTCCTGACATTTAATCCTAGTAAAAATTCCCTGTTTTAGGTCAGTTAGGATCACCACTTTATTTTGAGAATGTGAAATGTCAGAATAATAGTAGAGAGAATGATTTATTTCAGCTTTTATTTCTTTCATCACATTCCCAGTGGGTCAGAAGTTTACATACACTCAATTAGTATTTGGTAGCATTGCCTTTCAATTGTTTAACTTGGGTCAAACGTTTCAGGTAGCCTTCCACAAGCTTCCCACAATAAGTTGGGTGAATTTTGGCCCATTCCTCCAGACAGAGCTGGTGTAACAGAGTCAGGTTTGTAGGCCTCCTTGCTCGCACACGCTTTTTCAGTTCTGCCCACACATTTTCTATAGAATTGAGGTCAGGGCTTTGTGATGGCCACTCCAATACCTTGACTTTGTTGTACTTAAGCAATTTTGCCACAACTTTGGAAGTATGCTTGGGGTCATTGTCCATTTGGAAGACCCATTTGCAACCAAGCTTTAACTTCCTGACTGATGTCTTGAGATGTTGCTTCAATATAGCCACATAATTTTCCTTCCTCATGATGCCATCTATTTTGTGAAGTGCACCAGTCCCTCCTGCAGCAAAGCACCCCCACAGCATGATGCTGCCACCCCCGTGCTTCACGGTTGGGATGGTGATCTTCGGCTTGCAAGCCAACCCCTTTTTTCCTCCAAACATAACGATGGTCATTATGGCCAAACAGTTCCATTTTTGTTTCATCAGACCAGAGGACATTTCTCCAAAAAGTACGATCTTTGTCCCCAGTGCAAACTGTAGTCTGGCTTTTTAATGGCGGTTTTGGAGCAATGGCTTCTTCCATGCTGAGCGGCCTTTCAGGTTATGTCGATATAGGACTCGTTTTACTGTGGATATAGATAATTTTGTTTCCTCCAGCATCTTCTCAAGGTCCTTTGCTGTTGTTCTGGGATTGATTTGCACTTTTTCGCACCAAAGTAGGTTCATCTCTAGGAGACAGAACGCGTCACCTTCTTGAACGGTATGACAGCTGCGTGGTCCCATGGTGTTTATACTTGCGTACTATTGTTTGTATAGATGAATGTGGTATTCAGGGATTTGGAATTGCTCCCAAGGATGAACCAGACTTGTGGAGGTCTACAATTTTTTGTCTGAGGTCTTGGCTGATTTCTTTTGATTTTCCCATGATGTCAATCAAAGAGGCACTGAGTTTGAAGGTAGGCCTTGAAATACATCCACAGGTACACTTCCAATTGACTCAAATGATGTCAATTAGCCTATCAGAAGCTTCTAAAGCCATTTTCTGGAATTTTCCAAGCTGTTTAAAGGCACAGTCAACTTAGTGTATGTAAACTTCTGACCCACTGGAATTGTGATACAGTGAATTATAAGTGAAATAATCTGTCTGTAAACAATTGTTGGAAAAATTACTTGTGTCATGCACAAAGTAGATGTCCTAACCGACTTGCCAAAACTATAGTTTGTTAACAAGAAATTTGTGGAGTGGTTAAAAAAACGAGTTTTAATGACTCCAAAGTATGTAAACTTCCGACTTCAACTGTACATGTCGTGACACACATGTTGTACTGTACTTCAATTGTCTTCATGTTTGACACAGATAAACCATACATAGCAACGTACACTCTACACCTAAGTATTTCCCCACAGAAAACAGAGTCATTTTTGTATGTAGCCTACTTCTGCAGCACAAACTGACAGTATTACTAAACCATAATTTCAGTTAGTCTAATAATTAACAGACTTTTCAAAAGGTTAACAGGACATTTCCCAGAGCCCGTTTCACAGATCGCTGTTCTTTGAGACTGTGAGCCATGAAAAATAGGCTAGAATAAAGTTCAAAACCATTATTTTGAAGATATGTTTTTACTGGCCACAGAGAGGGACATTTGGGTCAGCCTGATCCATATTTAACCATATAACATAATCATACATTTGTTATAATTTCCAGACAAGATAATAATAAAAGCAGGCACAGATCATATTTCTAGCAGGCACAGATCATATTTCTGACCGCAAAAAAATATATTTATGTCTCAAGTTTCAATAGTTTTAAGAAACTCCTTAAAAAAACGTAAAAACTGTTTAAAAAACACAATTGTGTGAAATGTATATAATTATTCATGTGAGAGTCTTACCGTCAGAACTCCGACATTGTCCCGGAACAGTAGGCTACCTGTCAGCGCGAAGGTATGAAGGTATGCTTATGCACCTTAGGCGACTATATGTCAATCATCAAGTCAAACTAGTTTCAAAGTCTGGAATCGTTTCTGGATCGGTTCCCGGGGGTGCGAATTCTAATCATAGCTCTCCACCGCGGCAGTGACGTCGCCAGTAATAACGAAGTGCATGAATGCGCGCTCCCGTCGACAAAGAGCTTGTCTTCACGGTCGCGCGCTATGGACTTGAAGTGTGATATTTACAGTCTGCTGACATTAGTACATGAGGAAAGATTTACTCTCTCTTTTGGGTGCCAGCACGCCCTCTAGTGGAACGAAATGAACATAACAATAGTGAACAGATGTGGACAAATCTGCCTAAATTGGTGGTAGACCTACAGTAGGCTATTACAGTTGCCCATTGTGTAGGCTATTTGAACTTGTAATAATTTGAATGAATTATATATTTATGTATATTTATGAGTATTTTTGTACTGTGTAGCTTACCCGGAATAGCTTACTCTATTTTATTCTATAGCCTAGTGTATATTACGTATCAGTGTAGAATACAAACATAGGTCCTCCAATAACATTTACTCTTTAAAGAGAAATTAAAAGTTAAAAGTAGGTATGTTGTAATTTCCCCGTGACTGTAAATACACGTATTACCAGTTCAACTCTGGCTCTTCTCTGCAGTCACCTCCCTCCGCTCCTCATTGAGGAATGCCATTACGCGGGTTGAGGTATGCTACTGTCACCAGTAGTGTTTTCCTCATCTATACTGTGTCATATGATGTTTCCCCAACGTGTAGACATGTATACATATTAGAATAGACCTATTATCTACATCAGAAAATGATATCTGTACACTTTGAAAGGATAATCCAAACATAGGTAAGTTGGCGATCATTTAACAAATATGTTGTTTTTTTTTGTCTTCCTTCATTGTCCTGTGAATTGCCAATTTTTTTTTAGTTGTATGACGCTTTAGGACTAGCTAGTTGTTTTTAACACACTATATATAATGCAACATTTCGTACTGTGCAGTACTGTGCCAGCCAGACATTCTGGGCATCTGTACAACTGACCATATATCAAAACTCTTATCATTGCAGTGAAAATTAAAAACTTGAAACTGTGACAAAGTAGCTCAAACTGAGAGGAAGTATTAGAAGAGGAAGGGGACGGACAGAGGGGTGTACCACGGAGCCATGGAGTTCAACAGCACATCTCCAGACATTTCAACCCGAGACCCTGGAACGGTCCCTGTGTACTATGTACTCATCCCCTTCACAGGGTTCACAGTGATAGGGTGCGTGATAGCACTGGTAAGAGTACACTTATTTATACGTCATTTCAAAGTCTGGTGCAGAGAAACATGTATGTTAGTACAAGAGCTCAATTCTATATATATATTGTGTTCAAGGATGAGCATGATGCGACATGACTAGTATCCACTGACTGTTCAAGGGAATTTTGCCATTTGTAAGACCACTGTTGGTTTTGTTTGGTATGCTATTCTGCCTCTGTATCTTATCACATCATATCTTGTTCACCGATACGTTCTGTTGTTCTTCATTCTTCCAGGTCGTTTACATACGAAGGAAAATAAAGTGAGTTTGATAACTGTCAGTTGTGAGCGAGCGATGCCTAAAGTGGTGGCTAGTCTTGTTCTTCCTCTATCATGTGTTCAGTAACATGAAAACATGATGTCCTCTGTAGCTCAGTTGATAGAACATGGCGCTTGCAACGTCAGGATAGTGGGTTCGATTCCTGGGACGAAATATATGTAAAAAAAAAAAAAAAAGTAGAAAAAAAAAGGGAGATATTATTAATAATACATGATGTTGTGACCAGACAGGACGGGCTTCGCCACATGCTGATTTCCCAGTACAGCTCTGATCACAGTGAGGAAGACTATCAAGACAGAGATGAGGATCAGGAAGAGATGGTGAGAGACTTTACAGTATTTATTTAGTTTGTCCTATTCATGTTGCGGTTTCTTTGCATTTATATAACATACATATTCCGATATCAGCTCTAACACACTCCCCACACCATGGGTTTGTAGAGCTCCATCTAGTCACATCTCTGTTGATGTAAAAATGGCTTAATTTATACTGTAGATACGTTTGATTAAATTGTTTGATTTGATCTCATCTTTTTTTTTCTTTTTTCTTTTTTTTTTTTTGGGGGGGGATGTCAGGAGCCTCTCTATATGGATGGAAAGCTGTCGTTCAACCAGGCACGTGCACAGATAGGGCTCTAGGAGTCTCCAAGGGGTGCTGGAGCGCCTGCCCTTCTGCCCTCATAGGCGAAAAGTGCCCTTTTGATTGGTGACAGTTTATAAACAAATTGCTTTTGTTTTCTCTCTTTTCTCTCTTATTGTGTACATTTTAAATGTAACAAATTGCTCATCAAACAAGCCCATCCCCTGCCCTTCTGCAGGTTTCTTCTTGAGGATTTCTGCATGTCTGCCTGAAGGGAATTCTTCTTGAGGATTTCTGCATGTCTGCCTGAAGGGACACAGAAACTATAGACTGGCCTTCCCTTCCCTTCCTTTACACTTATCAAAAAGAAGACTGGCTGCATGTATCCCAATTCTCCGCCCTTCTCCCTAAGTGTGTACTTGCACACTTTCTCAAATGGATTTAAAAGGGGGCGAAGAATCAGGATGCATCCGCTATGCATGTCAAGACTCAGAAGTTGGTTTACTTTCTGAATTTATTTTAATGGAAATGGAACTGACCCCAACCCTGATGCGTGTGTCATGTTGTGCGACTTATTGCCGCGTTCAAAACAACCGGGAACACTGAAAAATATTAGGTCAAATCATGACGCCAGTGATCTTCAGGTCGGAAAGTCGGAGCTCTAGAAAGAGGCCAGAGGTCCCGAGTTGGAATTCCGAGTTGGATGACCGTTCAAAGCGATTGTTCCCAGTCGGAGCTCGTTTCTTTCCCAGTTCCCAGTTGTTTTGAATGCGGCATTAACCTTCACTTGACGCTACCAGTTCACCCTCAAGAAGAGGGGGGTGTAAGCAGTCTCTGTATAGTAGATAGTGCTGCAGTCACACATTTGCCTTCAGTATTAGAAACATGAACATGTTCAGAGACCCACTAAAAAATGTATATTTTTGCACAATAAACAATATCATCAACTTTCAGTTGTATTACTGGTTTGTTTCGTTAGAATAAGTTTTAGATGTTATGATTTTAAGACAGCTTATTATGTAAATCCAACCAACAGAGATGTTGATCATAGCCTGAGTGACACAGCTGACTCCACTTACTGATCAACAGCCCAGTGGGTTGTGTTCATTAGGCACCAAACGGTTGAAAATTGAATAGAAACAGGGCGGGACTATCCAACCTGTCCAATAAGGAACACTAATTTCTGCTCCTCTTTGGAAAAAGTTTTTAATTGGTTTCCGTTATGTGCCCTAATGAACACAACCCTGCTGGGCGTGCGGATCTTCTTCAGGCCCGTCACACTCGGCCGAGATGTCTTTTATAAACACAGGTCCGGGGATAATGGCGTCACAGAGAAAACACAGGTGAACAACAGCTTCTGTACTCGCATTACAAATGCTCAGCAGTGTCTAATTTTGATGTTGTAATGTCTGTTGATTGTTCACCCTTTTGCTTCTGCTCAAACGTTTCAAACCACCTCGAATGAAACAGTTGCCCATATTACACGCTGCTGCCAGACTAATGGTTTTACCACACCTCTTTTGGTATATCTATAATAAACGTTGATGACTAGGAATATGAGGAGTTTTGTAGAAATGTCTTTACAAACATTTCTACAGTATAAAGATTGTGCGTAAGACGTATTGTGTGCGTCATCCAGGTCGACCTCTCCCCAGCCCCTGGCTTCAGCAGCCTGCCTCTGTGTCTTCCTACTCCCAGGCCTAACTGTGGCAGCCATGGGATTTCCTAGTACCAGTCTGCTGTGTAACTTCTGCCCTCTACAGCACAAAGGAAGGTTGGTGTCACCCCCCCCATTTCATCACTGCGGAGCAGTTTCCCGGACTGGACAGTCCGATTAAGCCCAGTCCGGGGCTGAAAAAGCATTCTCAATGGAGATTTTCAGTTGAAAAAGCTTTTTTTTAGGTCAGGACTAGGCTTAATCTGTATCTAGGAAATCGGCCCATAGTGTTCGACTTTCAACGTTTCCTCTCGTAAGGTTCCACCTCTCTTCGGTTAGTGCTAACCTTGGGACGTCCCTACCCTTACCTAAACGTTTTACATTTCAACTTCAATGGGGTTGACGTCCCAAGGATTCTGTTTAGAGTTTTCCATTTTGGGTCTGTCAACTCACTCCTGGGGAGAATCTCAATTGCAATTCCTTGACTCCTCACATCCTCTTGTTTCCTTCTCAAAAGGTCCCGCCTCTCTGACCTTCTCATCCAATGGGTTTTAAGGAGGAGAGGCAGTAAGGAATAAAGGAAATGCAATTGAGATTCTCCCATGTTTTTTTCTCCAGGTCCTGCAGTAAGGACTCCACCACCGAGTGTCTCCCGCTAGAGCGCTGTGGTACTAGTATGGGGCGTTTCGGTTCCATTCACATCCTGTCTGCACAGGGCTGCATGACCCCTGACCTCTGTAACTCCACCCACGCCGTGACCCACCAAGGGGTCAGCTATAATGTGACATACAGGTTCAGTAGCCAAACTTTACTTTTATTAAATGTAGTTTCACAGGGACAGTGCACATCAACATTAGTGGCCGGCTTTAGACAGTCGGTTAGTTGTCCGACAGAAATGCCACAAACAGAGTCGACGTGGTTCCTTATTCTACATGTCAGAGAGTCATGTTTGTTCTACATAGCATATTTCTATCTGAATGTTCCAAAACTGCGTCTTCCTGTATTATAGCTCTGATATGCTGTACTATGATTGCCTACAGTGTCTTAAAACTGAGGGGTCTACGTAATATTGAGTGACTTACATAGATTTTTCTAACTAACTCTTGTAGGTGTTGCTGTAGCGACCAGTGTAACCAGCCTCCGGCCTCTGATACCTACATTAAGAGGCTGTTAGGAGTGACGGTGGGGCACAGTGAGGAACCTCCGAGCACGGCGGACCGTCTGGATAGATGCCCTCGAGACGAGGGCGTGGAGGAGGATGACGCCATCACTCAGCCACATGGAGAAAACAACACGAATTCCATCTATAAAGTCCTCTCAGATCTCCGGGAGTGGGTAAAGAGTAGGGCCTAGGGGTCCATCTGGAATTCAGCACTACTTGTCGCTGGGGACAGGCCTGTTAGCCACAGTCACTGTCCCCATCCTCATACAAGGGATTGACACTTATTCAAATACATTTTATTTCCAGTGTAAATGTGCTTATTTATTCAATTATTTGTAGTAACTTATGTGAAGTGTAATAAATGTTTGGCGATGTTGGAATATTGACGTATGGTAAAAGCTGTAGTTCTCAGTGTGGTAGCTGGTGAATGCAGTGAATAAATAGAGCATGTGGAAGTAACTGTCCAGTGTTTCCAGATTTGTATGAAATATGACCTATAATTACAATGAGTGAAATAGTTTTCCTTCCAAAAATCTGGGAATTAAAGGCCCAGTCAGTCAAAAACATGAATTTCCTGTGTTTTATATATATTTCCAAACTAAGGTTGGAATAATACTGTGAAAATTGTGATGGTGCCCTTTTAGTGTAAGAGCTGTTTGAAAAGGCCACCTGAAATTTCAGCCTGTTTTTGGTGGGATGGAGTTTTGGCCTGCCAGGTGACTGACATCCCCAGGTGGTAAATTAGTTGATAGACCAATAAGAAAGAGTTCCAATTCCCTCTGTCAGTAACAGCTCGTTTTCAGACCACACCCAGTCCAAGCTAAATTCTTGCTTGAGAAGTGGCTCTTTGCTAAGAAGCTATTTTTGTTTCCTTTTTGACCATTTGAATTAAGCAATCACAGTAAGGTACTTAATTGTTACCCAAAAATGATGATATTGAGATAAAAAGGGCTACATTGATACATGTTAAAAATAAGTTCTGTGTTGGAATATTGTGGGCTGTAAAACTAAAATTATTCACGTGAGTAGACCGCTGATTGGCCAGCTCATCCTAGCAAGCATTTTTGAAACACTGTTTGAGGTGGGGTTTCTTCTCCAACGTATGCTTTGGCCACAAATACGAGTATATGATGAGATTTTCACTGGACATTTACTTTAAAAATCAGTGTTTCTTTGTCAGTCTGTCCTGATCTGAATAACAGGTGTTGGTGGTGGGTGTGGTTACTTAGTTTGAGGTTAGATGGTACAGGTTCAACCAGCAGTAAGTGTTGGGATAGTATACAGAGCATTTAGAAAGTGGCATCTGTCATCCACTGTGTACCACTTGGAAAACATATCTGTTGTATCCAGATTTAAGTTCTTCTCAACCCTAGAGTCGTAAGAATGGGCAGGTGAGTCCTCATCCTACATATTGACATTGCATGAGCAAGCTGTTAGTATTTCTATGGTTGAGCGCTATCAACCTGTCTTTTTAGATCAACTGAGACTAGAAGGTCAATTTCTAGGACATACCTGTAATTTACTGCAATCATGACTGGTTTGCAAGCAGTTGGTATTTTTATTTTATTGCAAGTCAGAAACCTACCCATCAAGCTCTTGTTTCAATTGACTAATTAGACCAGTGGGTTACCAATCAGCAGTTTCTGTTACATGCCAGTGCCACTCCAATTCTAGCCTGGTCCCAAATCTGTTGTGCTGTCTGGCCAAATCCTATGGTTGTTTTTTTTATGTCATGATGACGTTCAATGTTTGACTAGGTCTGTGCAGCCCAATTCTGATCTATTTTTCACTAATTGCTCCTTTGACCAAATCAGATCAGCTCTGAAAAATACCTGATGTGATTGGTCTAAAGAACAATTTAGTATTAGTGAAAAAAAAAAAAAAAAAGATCAGAATTGGTCTGCCTGTTTTTAAACGCAGCCTAAGGAGCTATACAGCACAAAAAAAAAGATCTGGGACCAAGCTACTCTCAAACACTGACTGACATGAGTGGGTAGTTCACCACCAGACATCCTTTTCTCTCAGGCCCCAGATGTTCCCGACTCTGTCTGCCATCCTGTGCGTCTCCCTGCTCCTCCCATCCCTCCACTGTAACAACAACCTGTTGTGTTACTACAGCCCCATCATGTACCGGAACAAGACCTTTGACCTCATCCTGTCAGAGTGCCCTCCCGCGGAACTCTGCATGACGGGCAACGGTCGCTATGGAAACCACAGCGCCCTCTCCGCCCGCGGGTGCATGGCACCGACGGACTGCGGTCAGGCACACCCTCTCCCGCTGAAAGGAACTATCTACACCATGATGTATGCGTGCTGTGACTATAACTACTGTAACGCAGGACACCGTGTTGCGGTTAATTCGGTCCCCCTCATGGTGGCAATGATGACTATGCCTATGCTGTTGTTGGAGCTGTAATTCTCAAGCCTACTTTAAAATCATGTAATTTTAGATAGAGGATGTGATGAGTACTAGGATTTGTTGGTTGAATGGTTTATCTACTGCTGCATACCCAGTCTAACCAAACGGAGGCGTGCACCAACCTGGAGACCAAAGGGTTTTTACCAAATATAATAATGGGAGATATTGCATTTGGCTCCTTTTTACAGAGAGAAGTTATATTTTTATGATTGTGAAATAAATGTTTTATACACTAACTGGACTACGTGTTAGCTCTTTTTCTGACTTTTTGTTGAATCAGCAATGTCTCTTTTTGAAGTTGTGGGGATATAGCTGTTGTTATAAATCTATCTACATATACTACACACACAACGCACACTATACTACACACAACGCACACTGACTATCTCTTGAGGTTTGGACAGTTCTTTATTTCCCTTTTATAAGGCTGCTGGGTCTCCCCATAATGGATATACTGATATGTACAGGAGAGTTCTCTACTGGAGTTACAGAGATAGGGGTGGGAGAGGGTCCATATTACACATTAGACTTCAAAAAACAACACTGATGGAGCCTCATCTCCGGGGGAGCAGAAAATCAGCAGAGGGAAGGAGAGGGGTGACAGCACGAGAAAGGGGAAGGGAAGCTGGGAGGAGAGGGGGAGGAGAGGGGGGAGGTGTTGTAGGCAGAGAGCCTCGAGAGAGAGACTGAATGACTGCCTAATAACTTAACACTTGAAAATAACACAGATTTCACGCACAGTGTATCGTTAAATAGGTTACGTGGAGAACCGCTTACCATAAATATGTATTTTTCAGGAGCCAACATATATATAAAAAAAAAAAATCATTGTTCGGTCGTAACATTTTTTTTCAATTTATCTGTCTTTTCCCTCCATTTTTTTTCTTGATTTGTTCCTTCCTTCCGTCTACCTTGGCGGCAGGGTTTCCCTGATCCATCTGTCCCTCATCCAATAAACAAGGAAAACAACTGAAAAATGGAGCAATGTGAATTAGTAAAAAACAAACAAATGAACGGGGACACGGCCACAGTCGACTCATCACGCAAATAACACACATAACAGCAAGAACACAGTACTATTTTTAGTGTCGTTATCTCTTATGATTCTCATCTTCATCTTCCTCCTACATACTGGTGCAGGCGGAGGAGTGTTTCCCCCCCCCCTCCTCCTGGCTCAGTTAAACTCAGAGGCAGCCAGCTATCCCAGGGGTGTATTCATTAGTCGGATTCCATTGCAAAATGTTTTACAATGGAAACCGTTTACTCCAAAGAGTTTCTATTGGACAAATTCAGTTCGGTCCCTCTCCATTTCATTCCGTTTGCTCTGCTTGCTTCCGTTTGGTTCCTAGAGTAAACGGTAAATGATTTCTGTTGTAAAACGTTTTGCAACGGAATCAGACTAATGAATACACCCAAGCAACCTGACAGAGTTGGAAAGAGGGCTCACCCCCTAGCTTTGCCATTATCGCTTCTGTGACTGTGTGCCCTCTATCCAACTCTATGTCACTGGTCATCAGTGATATTTCTCTTAATAATTTCACAGTGTGGTAGTAGTAGGACTAGGTGGGTAGAATGGGGTGATAGGGGGGGGGGGGAGCCAGGGGTGGGTAGTATCTTCATTGTATCGCAACTGGAACATGGAATCATCATATCATAATAACCACTTACAGCAATGATTAGAAAACAACTAGAAACCTGAAAGTCCATTAAAAGTAAACAAAATGTCTGCCTTTGTTGCTCCTTCACGTCTCCTTCCTTCCGGTCACATGGGGGGTGGGGAAGGCTTCTGATTGGTTGCAGCGCATACTGATGGGATGGCCCATGTTTTCTGGCAGAGTGGGGATTGAAGGGTTGGAGAGGGAAGGGGTGTGGTCTAAGGCTGACTGGAATCCATTGGCTGGTGGGCAGGACTCGACAGGGTGATATGGCATCAGGAGAAAGGAATGTGGTTGGTTGGTTGGTCGGTCATATGTGTGATTGGCAGGTCGTAGGGAAAACCCCTTGGTTAGGCACGCTGCCGTGGCAGTGCCCGCCTCTTCCGGCTGTAGTAGTGACGTAGGCCGGTCTGTCTGGCAAAGTTCATCATGTAGTTTTGTTTACGGGTGCTGTAGGGAGACAAAGGCAGTGAGAGAGAGAGGAGAGAGAGAGGGAGGGAGGAAGAGGGTGGTGACCGTTAGTAACCAAGGAAGAGGCATCCAGGCACACACACTCTTACATGCACATGCACACACACACTGCAAGCTCACACACTCCTAGATCCATGTTGCTATTTTCAGTTGGGTTTCAGCCCTGACCTCAAACATTCAACAACTTGGATATTTTTAATTAAGCAAATAGTGGCCTGTTCATAACTTACTTTATATTGAACTGTGTATATATTGATCAACAGCTTGTATTGACATGTTCTCAATGGCAGTATCGTAATCAAAGAGTCAACAGGACAAAGACATGATGGGACACAACTAGGGGGGACACACGACTAGCTAAAGAGCTACAGACAGGGTCACAGACATTAGCTACAGACATGCTCTGGGGTTCTGGGGGGTTCTAACTCTGATCAGGGTTCTAGGGTTCTAAGGTTCTAATGGAAGAGTGTTTTAGCTCGTAGAGTAGCAGCCAAATCACTGGGAAAAACAAACAAACAAACAAACAAGCAAACAAACAAACAAACCAAAGTAATAAAGGTGCAGGGGGTGTGGTGGAGGGGAGGGGGAGAAACTGAACCAAATAGACACAAAGAGAAGCCGCGATTGAAGATCGCTCTTCTTGCTTAGCCTTTCATTGCCTCGTCCATCCAGCAGGTGATACCAGGAGTGCAGCATGGTGGTGGTGGTGGGGGGGGGGTGGGGTGAGGTATTGTGGGGGGAGTTGGGTGAGGTATTGTGGGGTGGTTACAGAAGGGGGGATGGGAGGGGGACGAGGGGCTGTCTGTCTTTCCGCTTCTGTTTTTTGTCTCCTTCACAGAGCGAGTGGAGGGGGAGAATGGAGAGGGCTCCTGATTCACATAATTAGATTTTCCATGGACAGGCAGCCATGGATGGGGGGGGGGGGGGGGGGGGGGGGGGGGGGGGGGATATGGGGGGCTTTTCAACGTTGGATTTAAAAAGCCATGCAAGGAGTTGGATGGAGGTTGGTTACTCTGATGAAGGTGATGGGCTCGATGAGTTCCTTTTGTTATGTGGATGTCTTGAGCTCTGAAGTTATGCCATCTGCATGACACCACTGCTAGTGTGAATAATGTGTGGACTGAGTGAATGAATTGTGAGGTTGTAACGTGTGCCTCTGTGTGTGGCAGAGTCAGCCTCAGCATCAACTCCTTATTGGACTGTGTGCAGACATGTAGAAAGACCCAAACCACTCAAATGATAGCCATGGCACAACGTACATTCACATAGCTATGGATTCCATCACACATATACACACACATTGATTGATACCATTGAGATGTGTGTGCTGTGTGTGTAAAATATACAGACCAATTGTTGTCTACACAAATGGTGATTTTAGTTAAGACATATTATTTCAGATATCTCATATAGGTATTTGCCCAATGGTGTTTTGGTGGTATTTATAATATCCACCACGTAGACATGGATGTTAGCAGTCATGTCTTTAGGTCTTTCTCTGAACGTCCGCTTCCTCAAAAATATGGAGATATCAGTTCTGTCTGTGTCCTGGAGAAGAGGCTGCCTCTGGGTTATGACAGCAGGTGGAGGTGGTGGTGTGTGCGGGTGTGGGGGGGGGGTTAAGGCGTGGAAGAGGGTGACAGAAGAGGAGGGTCCGGGGTATAGGTGGGGGGGGGGGTGAGGAGGAGGAGGAGGAGAAGAGGAAGACTTACCTGACACTACAGCCATGCCACAGGGAGCAGAATACAGAAGAGAGCAGAGGTTAGAGCGCGAGAGGGGAGGAGGGGGCGGAGGCGGAGGAGGGGGATGCTGCTGGCTCGCAGAAAGGGTCTGGGGGGGCTGGAACCCCGGCCGCCTGGGAGGCGAAATGGGGGCCCAGAGAGAGGGGGAAAGAGGGAAAGAGAGGAAGGGATATGGAACGAGGGGAGAGGGTGGAGAGACAGATAGACAGAAAAAGTGTGAAAAGGATGTAAAGAGAGAAAGACAATAACATATGGGGAGAGAGAGACAGAGAGACAGAGAGAGATAGAGAAGGAAGAGGAGGAGATGGAGGAGGAAGGAGGAGATGGAAGTGGAAGGAGGAGAAGGAAGTGGAAGGAGGAGAAGGAAGTGGAAGAAGGAGATGGAGATGGAGGAGATGGAGGAGGAGATGGAAGAGGAAGGAGGAGATGGAGAGGGAGGAGATGGAGGAGGAGATGGAAGAGGAAGGAGGAGATGGAAGAGAGGAGGATAGATGAAGAGGAAAGAATGGAAGGGAACGTAGGAAATTAAGAGGATGGAATATAAGATTAGCGGATAAGGAATATGAGGATGAAGAAGATATGAGGAAGGATGAGGAGATGGAAGACAATTGGACATGATGAGCCAGCAGGAGACCACAAAGCACAGGCAGAGGAGGAAGAGAAGCAGTATGGTCACACATGTTAGTGTCGTGAGATCAGGCAGGAGAGGAGAGACACACGATGACAAGGAATATATTGAAAAATGAGGAGAGGAGTGGTGGAACAGAGAGGCAGAAATAAAAAAGATACGTGTGAGGATCGAACGGTTATTCTGTTCTGCAGACACTGTTGTTGAATGTTGAGAACCAACCGTGGGAGTGAGAGAGTAGGAGAGGACAGGCCAAGGCCACACCAAACTAGGGACAGCTCAGGTAAGGTGGTGCATGTGTTTTTGTGTTGACTCTACACGTAGTTGAGCTTGCTCTATAGATATCATGACGTGATCCAATACAATGGGTATCTGTTGTTTGCCAAATGACTAAACACCTGCACTTAACATCAAGCCTTTACATACACATCACATGACTGTCAGGTGAAACATTTGCAATGCATGACATTCTTTAACATGTTATGTTATAATCAATGATCT